CGTGAACCCCCAGAGCTAAATCAAGAAGGAAGCCATTGGGAGACGGAGATGGTGGAGTAGCCCACCATAGAAAGAGGTTCATTTTTTTCTTTCATAAAGCAGATCAGCCTCAGGTACAAAAACTTTAAACAGGTTTAGAAGGTACTTAATGGGACATTTTTTCCCATCTAGCTTCATCTTTGTTGGTTAGAACATAGGCAGCCTGAACATTATGGGCTGGGTTACATGCCAAACATGTTGCCTGAGTGATAAAGGTAATATTATGTTTAAGGTTACAGGGGTGGCAAAAGACCCTGTGAAACAGCTAACCAGAAATCTCTTTTTGAAAAAGGCCATTTTCCGTTGTTTTGGCATGCAGAGTGTTTTGGCCCAGACTCTAATAGAAGTTGTTGGTATGGTGCCAGCCTAGTATTTATTTCAACTGAATGAATGTTTCCAGTGACCTGAGGCAAAATCTTTATCCCCGCATGCAAGGTATTGTTTTGCAAAAGTACTCACAGTTGTGCCTTCAAAACGTTATTTTTCTTTTCAGTTAACTGTGCTGCTTGGTTTATATGGTAAGTGAAATCTTCAATCTCTATCATTTTTATGCACCCAATCTTGGACATCATGCCCAGTGGAATATATGCCTTGGTCACTATCAGTACATCAAGGATGGCCATACATGAGACTGAGTTGTTCCAAATCCTTCATAATGGCTGTTTGATTTTCTTTTTCACGAAAGAAGGCCTTCAACAACCCCATGGCAGAATCCACATGTTAGGACATACTTTTGTCTCAAGCTTAGTGACAGCGGTTCTGTGTATCTACCTGTCAGTCTCTCACAAAGGTGGCTGTCTTATGTCTTATATACTTGTCCCAAAGTGTGTGGGGTACAGTGAGGGCACAGCAGCAGCAGATGAAAGTTTGTTATTGCTACCACCAAATCCGCATAGGCAATCCTGTTCCCTCTGCTACTTGTCAGTCCACTAGTGCACTGTAATGCTCACTATGTCTATGCACCCCATCAGCTAGCTCAGAGAATTTTGAGGAACCTGTTGTTCCAGTTTCTGCTACAGTATCCACCTTTATGTTACCAGGGGCAAATCTGACCAGTGTACTGAATCATGACATACAATTAGACTCACAGCGAGTTCCTGTAGCCTTTTCCAAATATCTTTCCATATGGCAGTTCCCCACAGGGTTTTTCTAAGTGCATGCCAGACATCCTGGGCCCATTGGATGAGCCAAATTGTCAGACCCTTAAATACTGCCCTGTACAGAAAACTGACTGTCTGTACAAAAAGCTACAGATGATGGCTCCTAAGTACAAACCAACCATGCAGCTCAAAGTTCTGCCTAGTGACTACTTTACTGCACTCTTGTCTCAAATCATATGGTATCTGCTAGTTGACAGCTACTGTTGTCCATACACATAGGTTACTTCAGCTTGACCGATGTGAGTACAAAGCATTGTCAGGAATGGGGGCTGTGTCTCATGCACCATTGGAGGTATCTCCTGTGGAGGCTCCACAATAGGGGAAGCACTGGTGTTAGAGCATACTGGCCCTAATATGGCATGCAGTTCACCTCCCAAGGGACTCATGGAGAGTGCACTACATTGTTTTAGGTATACAAGCTGCTTTTGTAAAGTGGAGGCCTGGGCAGAGGCTGAGGCAGGCCTGACAAGTCTCTGTCCCACCCTTGATGTGGAGACCTGTTCTCACTGTTACCAGTGAGCAGGTACCAAAGCAGTTACCAAAGCACCATTACCAAAGCAGCAGCTATGGCTTCAACTTGCTGCAAGTACATATATACCCCCAGTACCTGTTGTTCAATTGGGGAATAGCAGGTTTCAGCACCCTTTCACTATTGTGACCCAAATTCTAGAGTAACTACTCTCCCAATGCTGGACTTGTCAGAGGGCCCAACTTGTCCTCTCTGGGCTTATGGTCACATCTAAAGATACTGGTATCCTGCCAATGGGCAAATCTAAGACTTGTCCTGAACAATGTATATTTTAACCTTCTCAATACATCCCCTTGTTCTTTATCCCAGCACCAACAAGACCCCTTCTTTACTGGTGAGAATGATGAACACAAACATTGAGCTAAATGTGGAATAAAAGCCTGTCAGTATCATTAGAAGACCTAGGAAACTTTGTAACTGTTTAACTTTTATAGGCATAGAAAATTGTTGTATTGTGTCAATGACTGCACCTGAGATAAGGCATGTTTTGTCCAGTCAAGTAACCCCCAAGACCCTTAGAGAAAGTTCTGGATATTGCATGTTTTGTGGGTTCATTGCCCATGCTTTAGATTGTAGAAGATTGCACAAGGCATCAAGGTATTGCTGTAGAAGTGACAAGTCTTCAGAAGTTAGCATAATCTCATCAATTTTTTGTAATAAAACTGTTTAAGAGCAAGTGGCAGTGGGTGTTAAATTCAATCTCTCAACAATTATTCAGTCAAAAATAATGGGTCTATGAGGACAGCCATGAGGAAACACTTGGAATGTCCATTGCTGGCCATCCCAATTATTAGGTGGATTAGATTAGTAAAATATGGTACATATACACCATGGAATATCATACAGCCATAAAAAAAATAAAATTATGTCATTTGCAGCAACATGGATCCAGCTAGAGTCCATTAACCTAAGTGGATGAATGCAGAATGCGAACAGTAACATAATGTGGTAAGTTAAGGTTTCCAATTGTGCCTCCTGAGTTTCAAGCTTATCTGCCAAGCCAGCCAGTCATACAAATATGAAAGCTCTCATATTCATTTCCTTCATTTATAGTTTCAGTTTTAGATTCAGAGGGTATATGTGCAAGTTTTTTACAAAGGTATATTGTATGATGCTGAGGTTTGAGTATGATTGAACCTATCACCCAAGCAATGAAGATAGTACATAATAGATAGCTTTTCAAACCTTAACTTCCTCTCTCCCCCAGGTTGTATTCTCCAGTGTCTATTCCCATCTTTCCAACCATGTGTATGCAAAGTTTAGTTTCTATTTATGAATGAGTAAATGTGGCATTTGGTTTTCTGTTTGTGCATTAGTTCACTTAGGATAATGGCCTCCAGCTGCATCTATCATGCTGCGAAGGCCATGATTTTATTCTTTTTTATGGCTGCATAGTATTCCATGTTGTATATGTACCACACCTTCTTTATCTGCTTCACAGTTGGTGGTCACCTGGATTGATTACATGTCTTTGCTTTGGTACACAGTGCTGCAGTGAACACAAGGGTGCATGTATGTATGGGTAGAGGGATTTATTTTTCTTTGGGTATACACCCAATAATGGAACTGCTGGGTTAAATGGTAGTTCAACTCAGTAGTTTGAGACATCTCTAAACTTCCCTGCAGAGTAGCTGACCTAACTTGAACTCCCACCAACAGTATATGTGCTTCCTTTTCTCCGGAACCCCACCAATATCTGTTATTTTTGGACTTTTTAACAAGTCATTCACACTTGTGTGACATAGTATTGCATTATAGTTTTTATTTGCGTTTTTCTGACAATAATCAATTTTTCAAATGTTTTTGGCTACTTATATGTCTTCTTTTGAGAAGCCTCTGTGCATGTTTTTGCCCTCTTTTAAATAGGGCCATTTGGTTTTAAACAAGTGGGGCTGCTTGTTGCCAGGGCTACAGGTCAGTCCTTTCCTAAGTTTCAGGCCACTTTAACCAGATGTGTTCTTTGGCAAGTTGCCTTTCATCAGCTGTGGTTAAGATGAAAACTATTTCATATTCCAGAATTGTAGAGCTATTTAAAAAATTTTTAAATTATTATACTTTAAGTTCTAGGGCACATGTGCAGATCGTGCAGGTTTGTTACACAGGTATACACGTGCCTTGGTGGTGGTTTGCTGCACCCATCACCTACGTTAGGTACTTCTTCTAATACTATTCCTCCCTTAGCCCCCCACCCCCAGGCCCCAGTGTGTGATGATCCTCTCCCTGTGTCCATGTGTTCTCATTGTTCAACATCCACTTATGAGTGAGAACATGCAGTGTTTGATTTTCTGTTCTTGTGTCAGTTTGCTGAGAATGATGGTTTCCAGTTTCATCCATGTCCCTGCAAAGGACATAAGCTCATCCTTTTTTATAGCTACATAGTATTCCATGGTGTATATGTGCCACATTTTCTTTGTCCAGTCTATCATTGATGGGCATTTGGGTTGGTTCCATGTCTTTGCTATTGTGAACAGTGCAGCAATAAACATAGTGTACATGTGTCTTTACAATAGAATGATTTATAATCCTTTACATATATACCCAGTAATGGGATTGCTGGGTCAAATGGTATTTCTGTTTCTAGATCCCCGAGGGAATGCCACAACTGTCTTCCACAATGGTTAAACTAGCTTACACTCCCACCAACAGTTTAAAAGTGTTCCTATTTCTCCACATCCCCTCCAGCATCTGTTGTCTCCTGATTTTTTAATGATCTCCGTTCTAAATCTAAATTGAGTGAGGTGGTGTCTCAATGTGGTTTTTATTTGCATTTTTCTAATGACCAGTGATGATGAGATTTTTAAAATATGTTTCTTGGCTGCATAAATGTCTTCTTTTGAAAAGTGTCTGTAATATAGTTTGAAGTCAGGTAGTGTGATGCCTCCAGCTTTTTTTTTCGTTGCTTAGAATTGTCTTGGATATGCAGGCTCTTTTTTGGTTGCATATGAAGTTTAAGGGTTTTTTTTTTTTCCCCAATTCCATAAAGTCATTGGTAGCTTGATGGGGATGGCATTGAATCTATAAATTACTTTGGGTAGTATGGCCATTTTCATGATATTGATTCATCCTAACCATGAACATGGAATGTTTTTCCATCTGTTTGTGTCCTCTCTTATTTCCTTGAGCAGTGGTTTGTAGTTCTTGAAGAGGTCCCTCACATCCCTTGTTAGGTGTATTCCTATGTATTTTATTCTCTTTGTAGCAATTGTAAATGAGAGTTCACTCATGATTTGGCTGTCTATTATTCGTGTATAGAAATGCTTGCAATTTTTGACTTTTTCCATTTGAATGCCTTTTATTTCTTTCTCTTGCCTGATTGCTCTGTCTAGGATTCCCAGTACTACAACGAATAGGAGAGGTGAGAATGGGAATCGTTTTTGTTCTAGTTCTCAAGGGGACTGCTTCCAGCTTTTGCCCATTGAGTATAATATTGGCTCTGTGTCATAGATGGCTCGTATTATTTTGAGGTATGTTCTTTTGATGCCTACTTTATTGAGGTTTTCTCTTTTTTTAAAGCACAAAGAGACACTGAATTGTATCAAAAGCGTTTTGTGCATCTATTGAGGTGATCATTTGTTTTTAATTCTGTTTATGTGGTAAATCACATTTATTGATTTGCATATGTTGAAACAACCTTTGATTCCAGAAATCTACTGGATGATGGTGAATTAACTTTTGGATGTGCTGCTAGATTAAGTTTTCTAGCATTTTGTTGAGAATTTTGGGTATATGGTCATCAAAGATATTGACCTGTAAGGTTTCTTTTTTTCTTGTGTCTTTTCTAGGTTTTGATATCAGGGTGACACTGGCTTCACAAATTAGTTAAGGAGAAGTCTCTCCTCTGTTTTTTGGAATAGTTTCAGCAGAATTGCTACCAGCTGTTCTTTGTATATCTGGTAGAATTCAGCTGTAAATTCATCTGGTCCTGGGCTTTTGTTGCTTGGTAGGTTTTTATTACTGCTTCAATTTGCAACCCAAGATTGGACATTTCAGGGTTTCAACTTCTTCCTAATTCATTTTTGAGAGGTTGTATGTTTTCAGAATTTATCCATTTCCTCTAGAATTTCTGGTTTGTGTGCATAGGTTGTTCACAATAGTCCCTGAAGATATTTGGCATTTTTGTTGGAATCATTAGTAATGTCATCTTTGCCATTTCTGATTGTGCTTAGTTTGGTCTTTCCTTTTGTTACTTTGTTAATATAACTAGCAGTCTATCAATTGCCTTTATACTTTCCAAGGACAAACTTGGTTCTGTTGATCTTTTCTACAAATTTTTTGCATCTGTTTCATTCATTTCTGCTCTGATTTTATTTATTTTCTTGTGTTAGCATCAAGGTTAATTTGTTCTTGTCCACCTAGTTCATTTGGTATGGTGTTAGATTGTTAATTTATGATCTTTCTATCCTCTTGATGTAGGCATTTAGCAAAGTTTATACTTTCTTCTTAACACTACTTTTGCTGTATCCTAGAAATTTTGGCATGTTTTGTCTGTTTTCATTAATTTAAAAGAATTTTTGATGTATGCCTTAATTTTATTTTTTATGAGAAAGTCATTCAGGAGCAAGTTGTTTATTTTCCATGTAATTGGTTTTGAGAGATATTCTTGGTGTTAAAGTATATCTTTATTACACTGTAGTCTGAGAGTATGGTCTAATTTTAACTATTTTGAATTTATTGAGAGTTGCTTTATGGCCAAACATGTAATCAATCTTATAGTGTGTTTTATATGCAGATGAGAAGAATATACATGTGGAATATTGTGTCTGTTGCATGGTGTACTACTAACATAAAAACATACTTAACTACATAGCCCAAAGACCGTATAAAACAGCTACACAATTGAGTCTACAAAACAACCAGCTAACAAAACAATGACAGGATAAAAATCGCACATATAATATTAAGCTTCAATATAAATGGTCAGCACAACTCCACCTAAAAAGGACAGATGGTAAGTTAGATAAAATAACAAGACTCTGTCAGGTCAAATTGGTCGTGTCAAGTTTAAGTCCAGAATTTCTTTGTTAGTTTTCACCACAATGATCTGTCTAAAGCTGTCAGTGGGATGTTGAAAGATTGAAAATATTAGGGCTCTCCTTCCTTTTCTTTGCTCTTGCATGCTCTCTGGGGTGGGGCGCTCAGCGAGCTTCAAGAGGTGGCTGGAAATCCCCCACCTCACCCCTAGATCCCCAGGAGAGGTCAGCACTGACCCACCTGTGGGTGTCACCAAGGCCGAGGCCAGTCCCTCTCCCCCAGAAGGGGGTGGGCCTGGGTCCAGTCCGCAGGGCCCTTTGAGGGCGCTGACCCAAGATGGAGTTGAGGTGGGGCAGCGCTGGGCCCCAGGGCCCCTGCCTGTCTCCCGGGGAGCTGGGTGACCCAGGCAGCCCTGGTGAGGCCGCGGTGTCTGGGCCCTAGCGAGGCCCCCGGGCTCCCACAGGACGGGTGCGGACAGGGAGGCCGAGGAGGCCCTGCTGCCCTGGGACTGTGTCTCCAGCCCGCCGCTTCCCGTGGCTCTCTGGGTCCCCTCTGCAGAGGGGCAAGGGAGCCCGCCCTGGATCCTGAGGCGCCCAGAGCTCCGGCCAGGCCGCTTCCTTCGTGAGGTCCAGAGGAAGCAGGGGCAGATCGCGGGCGCTCCCCAGGCAAAGGGGGCTGATCTCGGGGCTGGGGTCCCAGGGCTCCACTCCTGCCACCTCTAGGGCCCTAGAGCCAGGGAGGGTGAGAGACAGGAGGCCTTTGGCTCACCGCTGCGGCTGGACAGAGGCTCAGCCTGGGCTGGAACCCGAAGCGCTTGCGACCAGGCCGAGCCGCGGCCCTTTTAAGAGGGGGTGGCGCTTCCGCTTGAGGGGCGGGGCGCTGCAGGCTTGCGTGCCCTACGGAAGCCAAGAGCGCGCTTCCTGCGAGGATCCGGCTGGGGGGATCAGAGGAAGGAGAGACGGCGGGGCGGTCCGGGGAGGGGAGGGGCGGCGCGGTCCGGGGAGGGGAGGCGGCGGCGCGGTCGGAGGGAGGGGAGGCGGCGGCGCGGTCGGAGGGAGGGGAGGCGGCGGCGCGGTCGGAGGGAGGAGAGGCGGCGGCGCGGTCAGAGCGAGTTTCTTCAGAGAAGCCGTGATGGCTTCCACGGGATGGAGGAGGAGGAGGCAGGTCCCTGCGGTAAGCGGTGGGGACTCGTACCCCACCGGGAACCCTCCAGACCTCCCTGCTTCTCCTACATGGCTCCCTGCTTTCCTGCCCTGACTTCTTTGTGGGCATTTGGGCCCCAGTCGTACGTGTGGGGGCGGTTGTAGGGTCCCGGCCGTGGCAGCGTCCACAAGCCTGCCAGGAAGGCTATACCCGCGTCTGACCCGCATCCAGTGTCTAGGAGTGCACAGGCCCTGAGCCGTGGTGAAGCCGGGGACCTGGGTCCCTCCGAACCCCACGGGGCTCTGAGCTGCGGTATCCTAATTTTCATTTCCATCTAGAGTGTGTGAGTTCCCTTTTGCTAAAATCACACCCACATTTCTATTTTTTTTGTTGTTTTTTTAAGAAACTGAGTCTGGCTCTGTCGCCCAGGCTGGAGTGCAGTGCCGCAATCTCGGCTCACTGCAACCTTCATGTCCTGGGTTCAGGCAATTCTGTCTCAGCCTCCTGAGTAGCTGGGACTACAGACGCCCACCACGATGATGCCAGTCTAATATTTGTACTTTTAGTAGAGATGGGCTTTCACCATATTGGTCAGGCTAGTTTCAAACTGCTGACCTCAGGTAATCCGCCCAACTAGCCTACCCAAAGTGCTGGGATTGCATATGAGTAGTAATGTTAACCACGATTTTGTAATCATTGGTTCAGTTTCCTGTCTTTGCACAGGTATCTATTCAGGTTATTTGCCCAATTTTGATCTGGTTATTTTTCTGTTGTTTAGTTTTTTTGCCAGGTGGCTGTGTTACTGGCTTGTGCCTTTTCAAAAATAACCCCTTATCCACTCTGTGTGCCCAAAATTTCAAATAATTTTTAGTATGCTTTTTCATTTTGATCACTGTTTTCCTTTGTTGGGTACAAACTCTTCAGTTTCACGTGGTCCCACATATGCATAATTTTTTGGTTAGCTGTGCTGCTGGTTATTAATCAAGAAAAAAAAATCACTACCAAAGCAGTCCATTGTCAGTGATTTTTTTCCCATGTATTTTTGTCACTTTTTGTAAACCGTGAGCATACATCCAAGTTGCTCTAAATACATCCATAACTGAGGTTGTCTTTGTAGGCGCTTTATGGTTGCAAGTTTTGTATAGAATCTTTTAATCTTTTTCAGTTGATTATTGCACACTTAATAGCATAAGAGTCCTATATTATTCTTTAGCATGTGGATAGCTAGTTTTGAAAACCTTCCCTATTGTGTCATTTTGGTGGTGTTTTGAAAAATGTTCACTCTGTATAAATTTGTGTTTATTATTGTGTACATAGTGTTATTTGTGTTTATTATTGTGCCCTCATTTTGCTCACTGCTCTGTGTTTCTCTGTGTATGCCAGCAATATATAGGTTGGTTAATTAGAGATTTTTATTTAATTAGAACTCGGGGAATGTGTTGCATCCACAATGGTTTGTATTTCTGAGGATAGCTTTGGAAATTCAGGGTGTTTCGCATTTCTACATAAATTTTAGCATTGTTTCTTCATATTTCTTAAAATACTGTTTGCCATACACTAAACGTTATTAGAGGGTACAAGGAAAATTTTGATACAGAATTGATTCCTCTCATCTGAGTGTAACTTTGTACCCGTTGCTGATTCCTTCCAAGACCCCCTCCATCTCCCCAGCAGCCTCTGGTAATGCCCATTGAACTTTCTACTTCTAGGAAATAAAGTTTTTTCAGCCTACATGCCTGAGATATATGGAATGGGACTTTGTCTAGCAGGCTCATTCATTGGACCTGTTGTTCACCAGGTTTCTTCATGTGGCTGAAGATGGCAGGATTTCTGAAAGATTTATGGCTGAAATATATTCCGTGGTGTATCTGTATAGCAGTTTCTTTATCCCTGCTGCTGTGTATGGACAGGTAGATTGGTTCTGTATCTTGACCACAGTTACAAGTGTTTCAGTTCCCACGGGAAGGCAGATAGCTCTGTTCAAACTAGGGATTTCAACTGCTTTAAATGTGGAACCAGTGGTGGGGCTGCTAGCTGACCTGGTAGTTGTACTGTGAATTTTTTCAGGAACCTCTATCTGGTTTTCATAGTGTGAATCCTAATTTACATCCCCATCAATAGTGTTTAAGAGGTTGCCCTTCTGTAAGTGTACACTGGCTGGAGCCTTCAAAAATTTGTGTTTTGTTTTTGGTAGTATTCATTCTGAGTGGAATGAGACGGAATCTTAGTGTGGTTTTCATGGAAGTTTTTGTGAGG